AGATTGGTTCCTACTTTGGTGCTGAGCTGTGCTCATTAGATGTTGATTCAGATGGGAGCACTGACTTCCTGCTGGTAGGAGCTCCACAGTTTCATCTGCCTCAGGTGAAGAAAGAAGGCCGGGTCTACATCTACTCTGTGAGCGATGAGGTGAGCTATAATAAAAACTAAGATCCGGTGTGACACTGCGTGAGCTTTAAAGCTGATAAAATAAATGCATGTGTTTTCATAGTCCATTATTAACATCCTCATTTCCTATTAGACTGTACTGGAAAGTAACCAGAATGTGACGGGACCATCCATGGGTAGATTTGGCACCACCATATCCAGTCTTCCAGACCTGAATGGAGATGGACTCCGAGACGTAGCTGTCGGAGCGCCGCTTGAGGATGATAAGAGCGGGGCTGTGTATATCTACCATGGCAACAGGCAGAGAGGGATAGTCAGCACTTTCAGCCAGGTGACACAGACAACATTACTGTGCAAAGGTCTTGAGCCACATGTCATGTCTTTATATTCTGCTTTTAAAATGCTAAGTAGGTGTAGTGATTTCTTGCAAACATGTGCAAAATAAATGGAAATACGATATAAGAGGCAAAAATAGAGTTTGTACAATTATAACAAGCTTTGGACTGCCTCTATTCTTTTACACAGCCCGAACTCTCTTAGGCAGGTAATTTCTTTCTTGTAATTGGTAGTCTTCAGGATTAGTTCCTTAAAGGACATTCAAAGCTTCTCTTTGGATGTTGGCTGCCTGTTGTTCTCTGTAAACATGATCCCACCCTGCTTCAGTAATGTTGAGGTCCAGGATCTGGGTTCCACTGTGTGCTTTTCTATAAAGGTATACTTTTACTGTGTTGGCAGCGTGTTTGAGATCATTGTGATGCTAAAAAAAATTTAGCCATCTGCAATCAGGCGCTTTCCAGGTGGATCAAAATCTGACTGTACTCATCCGTGTTCATAATTCTGTAAATTGTGACAAATCGTGAACCCGACTGGCCATTTAACGACAGCCCCAAACCATAACAGAGCCTCCACTGTGTTGGTTCAAAAGAAATGATCTTTTTTCTGTCCAACTCTGTTATCTTTGACATTTTTGAAGATTCCACTGAAAATATTGTGTGGAATTTCCTGCAACTCTAAAAAAAAAAATCAAACGACACGTATCAAAAGAAATTCAATTAGAAGAACAATTTCGATAATTTCAGTCTTTGAGCTTTGTTTATGCTTTAATGATTCACAGGTCAGTGTTAAGTGGTTTTAAAAATGAAAAAAACATTCCCCTGAAAATGATCAGGTACAAGAACTGGACCGAAAATGAATTAAAAAGCAGCCAATGTTTTTTTTTTAAAAAAAGCCTTTAAAAGACCTTTATTACTTACTTTATTATCAAAGATTCAGGAGGAAAATTATTTCTATAACCTTCAAATCTTATAAACCATCAGAGAACTGAGGCACAAACGATGGATCTGCTCAACACTGTTGCCCCTCCATGCTCGCCTCTTGATTGTTTTAGTGATGCTGTAATATAACTTCAAAAATATGACAACCTGCCCAAAGAACTTTGTGTCCAACACTAGTTCAAATGGTGGGTTTAGAACATGTAGAATCTCTGTTTCTCTGTCAGACACCACAATCTGCCAGCCTAAATGTATTCAAGTCAAAATATTGTAGAATAACGACTGAACGACGTGCAGAGCCTTTTCTCTTTTTTGTCTGTGCTTATGGAGTTGTGTTTGTACACTCTCAAAACCCTCTGTGCATTTGGATTTAAGTTTAATTATCTGCAGCATGATAATATTATCAGACTTACACTTATGAGAGCACTATCGTAGACACAGACATGTGATGTCATCTGAAAGAGGTATTTAGACTCGGCTCTAATATCTCGTTATTCCAGAGAATCATGGGAAAAAATATAGACCGTGGGCTGAAATTCTTTGGAAGGGCCATCTTTGGGGATCTCGGGGAGGATGGACTCCCGGGTGTTGTGGTTGAATCACATGGTGCAGCTGTTGTATTCAGGTGAATATTATATGAACACTGCACCTATAAAAGAAGCTAAGCGACAGAAGAAGCAACAATCTATTTAAGTTCATTTGCTTCCTTTCAGATCCAAGCCGGTCTTCAACGTCTTGGCTCGTCTGTCTTTTCACCCTGAGAACCTTGACACCCTGAGTCCAGATAAAAACGTAGCTTTGGTTAAAATAACAGCATGCTTTGAAAAGGTCGAAGCAACAAAGAGCAAAGCAGGTAGGTTCGTTATGATGAGCGGACAAATGTGGAACATTAAAACTGTTTTTTAAAAATACACATTAATGTGTATTTATTTAATGTGACTTTTTTCAGTGCCAGTGAGCTCAGCATTGAACATCACATACACACTTAATGTGACGAGTCAAGCAGGTCAAAGCAGGTTCAGTCAGACCCTGGAGCTGAGAGATGAAAACACCTGCGTCAGCTACTCCATCAACAGAGCAGTAAGAATGTTGAACATCATCTGTTTATTTATTCACTCTCTGATGACTTTAACACATCGTTCAATCACCGCTTTTCCTTAAAGCGCCAGTTTTGTAAGCTGTTTTAGTGTTTCAAGCCATAGCACGCACTATGGACTTGTCACATAAGATTCTGAATTTAGCTGAGCCTCAAAGGGCTTGGTACCATATAAAAGACATTTTACATGATTATTTTACATTTTACATTTACCTGACTGACTGCCCCTCGCAAGCTTGGGGTTTAAACCATTGAGAAAAGGTGGGCGGAGATTTGTCTACAAGTCCTTTTCTTTTGGCCACGCCCTTTAGGGTTTGCCACAGGAAATCATTTGACTGCAAGCTTTGGACATGCTTAATGTGAGCATCTACCACTGTGACAGAATGATAAAGACATAAGGAAAGGCGCTATATATGGCCCTTAATATCAATAATCAGGTTTATTTATATTGTACCAAATCACAATCACCTCAATAAAGATCCTACAGAAAACACCAGCAATCATGCAGCTTCCTATGAGTTGGCACTCTGCAGCAGTGGAAAGCAACACTTCCCTTTCAACAGGAACAAACCTCAGGCACAACCAGTGGAGGGACAGCCATACATCTCCCGTTACTGGTTGGGGGTGAGGGGAGGGAGACAGGACAACAGACAAGCTGTGGAAAACAGACAGAGATCAATAATTACTAATGATTAAATGCAGAGTGCTGAAGAATGAAGAGGTGCTTGCGGAACAAAATCCCAGCAGCATAGTCCTATTGCAGCATAACTAAGGGAGGATTCAGGGTCACCTGATCCAACCGTAACTATAAGCTAGGGGCAGGCAGACCCTGATCCTGTATCCAGAGACCAAAACACCACAGACAACAGCAGGATAATGTTGTTTAGGTACTTTTAAATTTAATTTAATTTAAGTTTATGGGTATTAAAATGGGTAAATCTGCTCATTTAGCAGCAGTGTGTGTGAAATGTTAGGTGGATAAGATGAGGCAATTTGTAGCTACATTAAAAAAATTAAATTAAAAAAAAATCCCAATGAATCTACCTGAATGATGCAAACAGAAGTGAAAAACTCATTTTCATCAGTATTGCTTAGTTTTTAAGCATTAAAACACACATACACACAACATATTACGGATGGTACATTAACATAAAACTGTTGTCGGAACCGTACTGAATTTCGCACAGCCCAGTTGTGTAAATTGTTATCGTCCCCTTTACCCCTGGTCCTAAAGTGTATATTTATTTTCTTACTCTTCTTATATATATTGTTTGTTTACTTCCACTGCTGTAACATCGTCTTGTCTCTCTATATACTGTACTGTATATAGCAGAGATGACAATAAAGTTTACTTTGACTTCAGCAGCAAGCAGACTCACCGAGGGCTCTCGTGCTCACTTTTTGCGTATAGAATTTCGAAAAAACATCGGTGCAAATCTTTATCCTCTCAAGGATACTTGAGGGTGCATGGGAGTTTGCCCAAC